AAAAGAATTGAAATGATAAGGAATATGAAAAAAGAAAAAGAAAAAATCATAATAACGAGATCAACCACTACCGAAAACATCTATAACAGACATGATTATTAGCTTACTCATCATCACTGATGAGCAAGGATATACATAGAAAAGTGCATAATTACTTCAGGAGGGCCGAAACTGGTCCACTATATTGTATACTTTATGATCGAATGGAAAGGGAAAAAGAAAAACGCTTATCAACATCAAAAAATTGCTCTCAAAAATTTAAATAAATTAACTAAGACCGGTATTACTGCTGCTGTGGAGGCGCGGTCGAAGGCGGATTTGGAGGTGCTTGCTGTTGCTGTGGTGGAGGACCCCCTCAAACAGAGATATTTTTGAGGGGAAAAAATAAATGATAAGGTCTTGCAAAAAGTGAACTCACCAGGTCCCTGCTGCTGATATATAGCTTGTGGTGCCGAATTTTGTCTAGACATTTGGTTCGGCGGTGGCTGTTGATAAAATGAGGCGGCTAAAAATACTGGAAATCAAAAATATCTATCTGGAGGAACTGCACAAGGTTCAATACCGTATAGTGCTGTTGTTGAAACTTAACAAAATTCATACAATGGTAAAATGTCATGTATGGTCGCCTCCTCCCTTCTTTTACTGCATGTTTTTATCAGCTCCTCCCCTGTCCCTAGCTTCTTTCCAAAGTTATATTAAAACTTTAAAAATTCGTCAAGCTTACCAATTCCATCAGATTTAAGACTCAAACAGCAATTTGTAATTATTTGAACCAAAGAAACTGCTATAGCAACTCAAAATACCCCGAACATCTTTACAAGAAACAAATCGAAATAAAAGACAATTAGAACCTACGCACCTTGCACAAAACTACCGTAACCTTCATGTGGCATGGTGTACTGTTGATGTGGTGGCGGTGGTACACCACCACCTTGCTGCTGTTGTTGTTGAGCTTGTTGTGGATGTGGTTGCTGCATCAGTGTGGGATCATGATGTGTGGGCGGCATTGCCATTGGCACACCCCCAGGACCACCATAAACCACCATTCCTTGACCCGTAGGTGCAGAATACATACCATAGACCTAGATATGGGTAAGAAATGATTTTGGTATCATAACCCGCATCTTAAAAGAGATCTAATTTCGAAACTTTTCAAAGCGATAACCACTATATCATGCAGACAACAAGCATATGCAGAATAACATGCTACAGAGCACATTTACAGTTAAAAAAACATACCGGCTGGGCTGTTGCATAGAAATGCGGAGGTGGAGCTGCTGAGGCTGGCGCCATGAACTGTTGCGGTGGCGGTGGGCCAACGGACTGTTGCATGGCCTGTTGGCCGCCAGGAGAACCACCGCGTCCACCCTGTGACCACACAACATTGACAACGAGAATGCGAGCACGGG